AGCAGTTAAGAGCACTGGCTGCTCTTCCAGAGGACTCAGATTCAATTCATAGCACCCATATGGTGGTGAACAACCATATGTAACTCTGGGGGATTTGATACACTCTTCTGGCCTCTCTGAGTATCCCATGACATGGTATCCTTACGTACATGCAGGCAAAACACTCATGTACATAAAAGAAAAATAAAATTAAAAAACACATAAAGCCAAAACAAACATTTATTAATGTGTATTAATTGTCCATGTGAATAGAGTTCAGTGAGACATTTCCATTCACACACACAGAGTGCTCTGAGCAGATCTGATCTTCCTTTCTCACCCTCAGGCACATCTCTGTGAGTCAACCCTCCAACCTCCATGTATGATAGAGACAACTCTCCAACATCCATGTATGAGAGAGAACAGGCAGTTGTGTGTGTCTGGCTTATTTATTCAGGGTATATTTCTTTTAAAAAGATATTTTCAGCTGGGTGTGGTGTCACACACCTTTAATCCCAGCACCTGGGAGGCAGAGGCAGGCAGATCTCTGAGTTCAAGGCCAGCCTGGCCAACATAGCTCCATGCCAGCTGGGGGCTACAAGGAGACCCTGTCTCAAAAAGACCCCACAAAAAAAGACATTTTATTTATTTTTTAAATCTGTTTTCTTATTTCTATTTGTTTCTTCTATTTTTAATGAGCATTAAAAAAACACTACTATATTGGGCTGGGGAGATAGCTCAGTGGGTAAAACACTTGTCATACAAGTGTGAGGACCTGAGTTCGGATTCCCAAGAAATATACAAAGCCGGATGTGGTGGCACACATCTGTAACCCCAATACTTCTGTGGCGAGATGGCAGGCAGAGACAGGTAGATCCCTGGGGCTCACTGGCCAGCCAGTCTAGCCTATTTATGATTCCAGGCTAGTAAGAGAACCTGTCTCAAAAAACGAGGTAGAGTCAAGAAAGATGGCTCAGCATTAAGAGCACTTGCTGTTCTTGTAGAAGACCTGGGTTCAGTTCCCAGCATCTACATGGCAGCTAACAGCCATCCATAACTCTAGTTCCAGAGGATCTGATGCCCTCTTCTGGCCTCTATGGGCATTGTATGCACTTGATGCACTTACGTACATACGGGCAAAACAGTCATACACATAAAAACTGGCCTCAAACTTGTAATCCTTCTGCCTCAGCCTCTCAAGTGCTAGAGTTATAGGTGTAACTATACTAGAGTGCTAGAGTTATAGGTGTTGTCTTTTGTTTGCTGTGTTAACTCTGTCTTCCAGGTCAGCGCTGCTTGGTTTACTCACCCTTGTGTTTCTTTGGGTTGTTCTCACCAAATGCTTTGTGAATCTTGATGGGTCTTTCATACTTAACAAAGGTAACACTAGACTACTCAATTTCAGGGGTTCTGTTATACGGTCCCTGTCCCCTGAATGTTGTATCTGCTTCTTGTGTGGAGAGTTGGCCAGCTTCCCTTCAGCCAGTATGCAATTGGAGGAGGATAGCCTTGAGGGGCCAAGGCTCTGCCACTCAAAACCTGACCGTCAGGAATAGTGGGGAGGGAATCCCATTTTCATCTAATTCTCACTGGGCTTTCCATCATGGCTGAGCTCATTCAGCTTCCAAACTATGCTTCTTTTGTTGTTGTTGTTTTCGTTGTTGTTGTTTTATTTTTTGAGACAGGATCTCACTCTGTAGCCCAACCTGCATGGCTGAGCTCATTCAGCTTCCAAACTATGCTTCTTTTGTTGTTGTTGTTGTTGTTTTATTTGTTGAGACAGGATCTCACTCTGTAGCCCAACCTTGTCTGGAACTCACTTTGTAGGCCAGGCTGGCCTTAAATTCATGGACTCCTCCTGCCTCAGTCTTCCAAGTGCCAGGATGACAGGTATGAGTGAGCTACCATACCTAGCTTTAATCATACTTTTGCTACAGGGAAGCAAACTTCCTTTTTTTCAGTAATTCTCCGGGCCTCTCTGGAGGTCTGTTCTGTTTTTAACCAGCTGCTTTCTAGACTTACTGTCCCATCTTTGTCCTGAGATTTATTCTCATGATAAGCTTCTCATGTTCCTTGATCTTCCATGTCTTCTTCTTTGAATTTCTTGGAAAATATCCTTAAATCATTCTCTAAGAATCTATGAATAGTAACACTGCTACATCCTTGCTTGCATGAAACATCTTTATTTCACAAGCAGAGTTGAATGATAGTGTAGTTGGGTATAAAATTCATGGTTGAAAATAAAGTTCCTGGGCTGGGAACACTGCTCAGTGGGAGAGTACTTGCTTAGCATGAGTGAGGTCTAAGTCCTTGTGTATATACATGTGTTCATTCATGTGCATGCGTACTTGTGGCAGGCCAGAGTTGACACTGGGCATCATCCTCAGTCACTCTCCACTTTACTATTTCCTTCTTTCCTTGTCCCTCACTAAACCTGGAGCTCACTGATTTGGCTAGGCTGACTAGCCAGCAAGCTTCAGTAATCAACCTGTCTTTGCTTCCTCAACCGTGGGATTACAGATGTGCACTGTCACACCTGGCTTTTGTTTTGTTTTGATTTGCTTTGTTTTGCTTTGTTTTGTTTGTAGCCCCAGCTGACCTGGAACTCAGTATGTAGACCAGGCTGACCTTGGTTTCACAGAGCTCTGCCTGCCTCTGCCTCCCAAGTGCTAGGATTAAAGGCATTCGGCACCATGCCTAGCACACCTGGCTTTTTTTATGTGGGTGCTAGAGATGCAAACTGAGGTCCTTGTGCTTGAGTGGCAAGCACTTTACTGGCTAAGCCATCTCCCTAGCCCCTGAATGTTCCATCCCCAGCATCATAATGAATAAAGTAATTAATTAATCAATCAATTAAAGTTACCTCAGAATTTTGAATGCATTTTTTTTCATTTCTTCCTACAGTATAGTATTATTAGTTAGAAGCTCGGTGATAGTTTGGTAGTCATTTCTTGTTCTTCTACAGGTAACCTGTAAAATCTCTGAGGGATTTTAGGGTCTTTTCTTGCTGCTTAGGTTCTAAAATGAGGATAGGGCCCATTGTGAGTCCATTGTCTTTATTATGACACAGCTCTGTCATTGTGAAGAGTCACTCACCTCTTGCAGGTCTGAGCATTTTTTTCTGTTTCCTGAGTGTTTTTTGAAAACAGAATGAGTAGACACAGCTCTCTTGTATTGCTTGCCTCTCTGTCTAAGCTTTTTCTCTCTTATGCTTTGTTTGAGTTTGGTTTTGCTCTAGAAAATTTTCCTTGTCTTTTTCTTTCAGCCATTAGAAACTTGAATATTTCAGTTTATCAAATTTTAAGTTTCAGTAATTGAACTTCAGTTCCTAAGAATCATTTCTTTTTTAAGACTCTGAGATTGCCTTGGCTGCTAGTCCTTATTATAAGCATGCAACATCTCTGGGTCACTCCAAGGACACTAATTAGAATTTTACATTTTCTCTTCTGACCCTTAGCTCCCTGCCCTGTCCTTGCTGCCTCCCAACTGTGCTGAAGGCCCCCTTCCCCACTGCCATCACCTGTGTGTGCCTTGTGGCTGAGGTGATCTGTCCCTCTGCTTTCCACAGTCCCCAACATATCTAAATTTCTAACCATCATTGTGATGATTTTGTTCCTGTCATTTGGTAGAGATTTTGGGGAGGGAGGAGGTTGGTAAGTGGACCCAGTTGCCTATCTGCCATGGCTTGAATGTGAAGTGAGCCCCACAGGTTCAAGTGTTTAAACACTGGGTCCCCAGTGGCTGGTGCTGCTTAGGAGGTTGTGGAATCTTTGGGAGGGGGCTCTAGGTGGAGGAAGTGGGTCCTTGGAGGCGGGCCTGGAGGTTTATATCAGCCCAGCTTCCTGTTTTCTCTGATCCATAAAGATCCCAACACCTGCTACCATACCCTCCCCACCATGAGGGTTGGTAACCCTCTAACCATGAGTCAAAATAAATCTTTTTTCCTCTAAACTACTTCAGGTGAAGTCTTTGGTTGCAGCAATGGGAAAAGTAACTGATGCCTTATCATAAACTCTTTTCATCAGTCTCATTTCCTTTTTTAAAATTTTATTATTATTATTTATTATTATTATCATTATTATTATTTGGTCTTTTTGAGACCTGGTCTCTCTGTAGCTTCAGCTGACTTAGAGCTCACTGTGTAGACCAGGCTGGCCTTAAACTCACAGAGATCCACCTACCTCTGCCTCTCCAGTGCTGGGATTAAAGGCATGTGCCACCATGCTCAACTTATTTATTATTTTATTTTATGTGTATGAATGTTTTGCCTACGTGGGAAAGCTGGGTACTCACTCCATCTGCAGGAGGCATCCTGACTGCTGTGCTTCTACATGGGAGTACAAGAATGCTAAAAATTCCCTCGAAGTCCTGGAAGGCTCAAAGGCTTCTGGCCCATCTGCTGGCCTCACCCTGCCTCTCTTCACATCTTTTCCACTGTGCAGACAGTATAGTTTAGAAGCAACAGCATAATCTGTGGGTGTCATTTGAAAGTTCTCTGAGCATTTTCAGATCTCACAGAGGTTCACCAAGAAGACCTCATAACACCCTAACAGGAAGGGGTAAAGGGAACCTTTCCTGAGAGGTTGTATCTCCTTGTTGGAACCCCTAGATGAGCAAAATTGGGTGTTATAACTAATGGAGAACAGCCACACCAAACTGTCAAGGGCCATTGCTGAGGGTAATTCCTGTGTTTATTGAATTTTGGTAACTTATTATTTTGCAGTGCTGGGGATGGAACCCAGGCCCTTGTACATGCTAAGCAAGCACAATACTACTGAGCTATATTTCCAGCCCTTAATTTATATTACTTTTATCATCATAAGGGAAAATCATGAATAACCAGGTCCCCAGAGGGTCGGCCTCATCCTCCTCCCCAGCTCACTTCCCCCTCCCCTCCAGCATTGCCAGTCAGCTGGGCCCTCCATCCCTGTGGCAGTTCTTTTACACCCATAAGGACTGCTTGGTAAATGCTGCACTCATGGCTGATGAAACTGGTGAGTTAGCTCTCTGTCTCTCCTTAGACTATGTCTTCCCAGACCTAACTGAGAAGGCAGCTTCCATGGAAGACCCAGACCAGCCTCAAGAGCTGCCAAACTTCCCCTCTACCCTGCCCAAGATGGATCTGGTTGAGCCTCCTTGGCATATGCCTCTGGAAGAGGAGGAAGAAGAGGATGAGGAGGAGGAGGAGGAGGAGGAGGAGGAGGAGGAGGAAGAGGAGAGGGAGAAGGAAGCAGAGGAGGAGGAAGAGGAGGAGGAGCTGCTCCCCGTGAGCGGGCCCCCAGAAGAAGCCAACATGCAGGCCCCTGACTTTTCTGTATTGATCAGCACCATCAGCAGCACCAGCAGCACCAGCAGCCAGAGTCCTGGGGCCACCAGACACAGGCAGGAGGATTCTGGGGACCAGGTCACATCAGGCATGGAGGTGGAGAGCAGTGTGGGGCCCACCTTGTCAGCGCCCTCGGTTACCCCAAGTACAGTGACCCTAGGGGATCAGAACTTCAGTCAGGAGGTTGGAGGCACCAAGATGCCAGCTGGGAGGCTGGAGATAGAGTCTGAGGTCCCCCAGGGAGGTGGTGAGGAGGCCACTGTGGGAGCAGCCGGCTCTGACAACCAGCAGGAGGAGCTGCCACTCTCCCCATTCCCAGAACCTGAGGCTCCAAGTGGGACTGAGGTCCCCATCAAAGGCCACCTTTACCCCAGGACCCCAGCCTCTTTCCCACCTGGACCTGGAGAAACCAAGCTGACCCCTTCCTTTGCTACTTGGGGACAAGAAGGTCTCAGTCAACAGCCCCTAGAGGGGCAAGCAGCAGAAGCTCACTCAAGAACACCATGGGACACTGCTCAGGTAAGGCAGAGGCACAGGCAGACCCTGCTGTCCCCTGCGTCCTTACAATGACAGTAGCAGTGCAATGGAGGGCTGACCACACCTTTCCCACCCCACCTTCCAGCACCTACCCACCCAAGTCAGTGTTCATGAGCATAGACCCCAGGAGGAGGGGAAGTGTCCAGTCCTCAGATGTGCACTGGGCCACTGGACCCTATAAAACAGCTTGAAGTCTCTGGATGAGCCCCCTGGCCTGGCCTCTCCCCTTCTTTAGTCTTGTGAACCTAGGGTGGAGTTCCTATACCTGGCAGCTCAGGAGGATGTGGCTGGCCCTAGCTGCCCAGAACTGTGGTGGCAGGCACCATGGTCTCTCCTTAGGTTCCCAGTGACGCCTTTGTTCTGTCTCCTATACAGGTGATCTGCAAGGACTGGAGCAATCTGGCTGGGAAGAATTACATCATCCTGAACATGACAGAGAATGTAGACTGTGTGAGTGCTGAGCTGGCCCATGGGGAGGGGCCAGGGCGGCAGAGGCAGAGGGAGGCACCCTGTTGGGTCCTTTCCACAGAGAAGCTGGCCCAGCCCAGGGCTGAACACCTCCCACCTAGGAAAAACCAAAAAGAGGGCTTTCCTATTTAAAAAATTCTAGAGGCTCTTTCCTCCTCGCTTCCGTGGGCTTGTATTTGTTCTGTTTGCATGTTTTGGGTTTTGTTTTGCTTTGCTTTGCTTTTTTTGCTTTTTGCCCAGGATGCTCTCAAACTCACTATGTAGCCAGGGATAATCTTGAATTCCTGATCCTCCTTCCTCTGCTTTTCAAGTGTCGGGATCACAGATGTGCGCCATTGGGCCTGGTTTTATGCCATTTGGGGGGATAAAATCCCAGGTCTCATGCTTGGTAGGCAAGCCCTCTACCAACTAAGCTACATCTCCAGTCCTTCCCTCCTGTTTCAATTTAAAGGAATTTTTGTTTGTTTTTGTTTTTGAGGCAGCATCTCCCTGTAGTCCCAGCTGGTCTGGAACTCACTATGTAGATCAGGCTGGCTTCAATTTCTGCCTCCCAAGTGCTGGGATTAAAGGCTTAAGTCAGTCACTATGCCTGGCTTAAAGGAATTATTTTGTTTTTATGTGCCACATGTTTTATTTCTCTGATGAGATTGAAACCTGTTCTTTCTGTCTTTTGGGTTTTGTTCAGATAGGATCTTGATATACCACCCAGGCTGGCCTGGAATTTCTGGGCTCCAGGGAATCTCCCACCCCACCTTCCAAGTGCCAGGACTACAGGAGAGTGCCTTTGTACCCAGTGAAATCTTTTTAAAGTTATTTTCATCTTGGGTATGGTGATGCATGCCTGAAATCCTAGTACTTTGGCAGCTGAGACAGGAAGATCTAAGTTTGAGGTAGCTTGGTGCATAGTGAGATGCTGCCTCAAAAAACCCTGTCTGAGTTACTTTCTGCTTTGTTCTTAGATTTTCGTATGCAAGGCCTGCAGGTGTTTGCTCACAGCTCTACAGGAAGGCCATCAAAGGGCTAGTGGGAAGGTTTCACTGTTGAGAGAGAGAGAGAGAGAGAGAGAGAGAGAAATTGTGCTCAGAGCCTTGTACATCTCACGCACTAGGCTCACTCTCATTGCTAAGCCATGTCTGGGCCCTCTGATGGGAACCGTGGGTTTCCATGAGGTGTGGATGGTGTTAGTTTCATTCTGTTGCTGTGATGAAACACTCTGATCAACAAAAGCACCTTGAGGATTAAAGGGTCTACTTGGCTCATGTTTCCAGGTCACAGTCCGTGACTGAGAGAAATCAGGAAGAACTGGAGCAGAAACTTGAAACAAAAACCGTGGAGAAACACAGCTTGCTGGCTCATGCTTTGATAGCTTATTTTTTTTTGAGACAGGGTCTAGTTGTAGCCCCAGCTTGCCTTGAACTTGCTATGAAGACCAGGCCGGCCTTGATCTCACAGAGATCCACCTGCCTCTGCCTCCCAAGGCCTAGAATTAAAGGTGTGTGTCACCACACCCAGCTTTACTAGCTTTTTCATACAGCCCATGACCACCTGCCAGAGGACTGGTGCTGCCCACAGTGGGCTGGGCCCTCCTACATCAATTAATAATCAAGACTGTGTCACAGACGTGCCCACAGACCCACCTGCTCTGGGAAATTCCTCAGTTGAGGGTGCTCCTCTCAGATGAGCTAAGCCATGTCAAGTTGACAATCAAGGCTGACCTGGGCAGATGGTCACTGTGGCTCCTAGGCTGGTGGTCTGGCTGGGCTATTTCACTTGGAAGTTCCTAGTATCACCAGATCCTTCCTCCTGGAGTGACTAGACTGTGCACTGAATTATGAAGAATCATTGCCAGTGTTCTGGGAGCCAGGATGGGGTGGAGGTTGGGTGTCTCTGTTTTATAGATACGCACACATGCACACCAATGCTCATTAACTTTGGGGTGCAGCATGGACACACACACAGAGTTGTGCCTGGTGCCCTCAAGATTAGAAGCCCTCTGTTTTACCCTTTTAAAGGAATGAATTCTCAGGGTCAGTGTATGGCTCAGCAGCAGGGGTTGCCCATCATGCACAAGGCCCTGGGTTCATCCCCAGCACTGGGGAAAATGTAAACACCCCATGTTCTCCAGGCAGAAGGACACCTTGTCATTGGTTGCTCTGGGAGAGGACAGGGATCCAGTTGTTTCCTGTATGACATGGACTTCAACCACTTCCTATTTTTAGTAACATTTTCTTCCCTCTTCCAATGATCATCAGGGCTTACCCAGGGTACCTGGGAGTGTGAATCAGCATCTGACTGCTGCTCAGCTTTCCTATCTGGGCTGAGTTCGCTCCTTTGGTTTGATAAAGGAGGTAATTGTACCACACATAACTGCTCCCAGAGGTTCAAACCCCATGATTCTGGCCTCTTTTTTTTCTTTTGTGGCTTTAGAGCTCAAATTCTTTATTTTTGTTTAATGAGGTTGGGGGGGAAAGAACAGCATGTGTTCAACCCAAAAGTGATGGATAATATTGGTCCATGCTCCCAGCAGCTTATACAGTGATGAATTTGAACATCTTGCTGGTGCTCCAACGTCCTATCTTTGGCCAGTGAAAAACTCTTCGAGTTGGCCTCTGCCTCCTTTTGGTCAGCCTGATGCCTGAGATTCTCTTTGCTTCCTGGTATAGGAAGTCTTGGCTCACCCCCTTTCTCTAGGAGTCCTTATTCTTTATGCTAGGAGAGACCTGGACCCAGCCCCAATGGAAGAAATGCAGGTGCACACAGCTTTGGGGCACATGCTTGTATACTTGCATAGTTTTGCATGGTTTGGGAACACACATATGCACACAATAGTTTCAGGGCACACTGATTTGGGGTACACACTTGCATACCTCTGGGGTGCAGTTGTACATTTGCAGTTTTAGGGTTGCCCACACTCACTTTCATTTGCATAGTTTGGAGGCACCCACATATACACAGCAGTTTTGAGGTACACTGTTTTGGGGCACACAGTTGCATAGGTTTTGGGGTACATACTTGAACAATAAAGTCGGCAGTTAATATCTCTGGTTTTTGAAGCAATTCATAGATATTAAAATGTTTTTATTATTTTTTGTCCTCTGTGTTATTCTTGTTTGGAATGTGATATCTATTCAATTATCATTTCATGGTAGGTTTTTGTTTAGTTTTGTTTTTTGAGACAGGATTTCCCTGTAGCCCCAGCTGGCCTGGTACTCACTATGTAGACCAGGCTGACCTCAGTCTCACAGAGATCCACCTGCTTCTGCCTTCCAAGTACTGAGATTAAAGGCATTCGCCACCACACCTGGTTCATGATAGGTTTTTTTTTTAATTCTAGTGTAAATGTGGAACTTGCCATCTAACTGTGTTCGTTCAGTGTTAAGTTCATTCACATGGCGAGGAAACAGATCCTGAGTGTCTGTTTCCTTCAGAACTGAACCTGTCCATTCACAGCTCTCAGTTTCTCTTCCTCCTTCCCAGCCGAAGGCAACTCCTTTCCTGCTTGCAGTTTCTAGGAGTTTCACTTCTTTGACTCCGCCTGTGTGATCAGACATCTGGCTTTTTCCACTCTGCATAATGTCATCAAGTCTTGTATATGCTATGTTGGGATTTTTAAAAAATATTTTAGTGTGTGTGTACACATGCACACTTGTGCCCACAGAGGCCAGAAGTCGGATCCCCTGGAGCTAGAGTTACAGGCAGTTGTGAGCTGCCCAATGTGGGTGCTAGGAACCAAACTCAAGTGCTCCCTGCAAGAGCAGGAAGCACTCTTAACTGCTGAGCCATCTCTCCAGCTCCCACTCAGGAGATTTTTAAATAAATATTTTATTTATTATTTTTATGTGTATGAATGCACTGCCTGCATGTATGCAAGTGTACCCGTGTTATACAAAGACTGCAGAGGCCAGAAGAGGGCATCAGATCCCCTGGAACTGGAGTTATGGACAGTTGTTAGCTGCTATGTGGGTGCTGGGAATTGAACACAGGTCTTCTAGAACAGTAAGTGTTTTTAACCACTGAGCCATCTCTCCAGCCCCTCCCCCCAACTCAGGAGTTTTAAGGCCAAGAATGCTCCACTCTGTATGAACCATGTTTATCCTTTATCCACTGGTGGGTGTTTGTGACTCAAATGTAAGCTGCCTGCTGCTCCTTCATCCAACAGGGAGCACCTGGGCACCGTTTTCTGGTGCATGTGCATGGAGCTGCTGTGAACACAGGGCACGTGCATCTCTTCAGTGCTCTGTTTTCTATTCTATGAAGTATATCCCAGAAGTAGGGTTGCTGGATCATATGGTAATTCTATTTTTAATTTCTATGAGGAACCCCCCATCCATTTTATATTCCCAACAGCCCAGAACACTGACTTCCAATTTTTCCACATCCTTGTGAACACTTGGGTTTTTCTTTTCATGTTTTTAATAAAGTATGAGGTCTTGTCTTGAGGTTTGGGCACCTATTTTTTTTTATTAGTGATGCTGAGCATTAGCCTTTATTACCAACTCTTGACATATTTACTCATTTCATTCTGATGCTTTCTTATGGCTTTACTCCTTTCTAACTTTAGTTTCCTTTTTCCTGAAATATGTCCATGTTAATCAGTTTTCTGCTGCTGTGACAAAATGCCAGCACTGTACAATGTATAAGAAGAAAAGGTTTATTTTAGCTCATGGTTTCAGATATCTTGGTCTGTGGTCAATCTGTTGCCTTTGGGCCTGTGGTCAGACTGTGCATCATGGTGGGAGTGAGCAGTGGAGAAAGCTGATCTCATGGTGGGCTGGGAAGCAGAGACAGTGACAGGAAGGAGCCAGAGTTCCATCTTCAAGGCCACACCTCAGTGACCTAACTTCCTCTCACTAGGCTCCACCTCAGAAAGATTTTTATACCTCTTAACAATGCCATGGGCTGGGGGCCAACCTGTAGTGCATGAATCCAAATCTCCACACCAGCCTTTAGTAGCTCTTTCTGCAAAACATCTCATACTTTATGCAAAAGCACCTTCCTCCCTCCCTTCCTCCCTTTTCCTTTATTTCTTTTTCCTTCCCTCCTTCCCTCCCCCCCCCCAAGTACCAGGGCTTAAACCCAGGGTCTCATGCATTCTAGACAAGCATTCCCCCCAATGAGCCATGTCCCCAGCCCTCTTACTTTTTGAGACAGGGTCTTGCTTAGTTGCCTAGGCTAGCCTTGAATTCAGTCTGTAGCCCAGGCTGGCACTGAACTTTCCAGCCTCCCATCTTCCCCTCCTGAGTAGCTGGGGTGACAGACCTGTGCCATGAAGCCTGATGCTTCTTTCACTTTCTTACATTGTTTCCCTGTATATTTTTATTTATTTTTTGGCCTTTTTGAGACAGGGTCTCCCTGTAGCCCCAGCTGGCCTAGAACTTACTATGTAGACCAGGCTGGCCTTGAACTCATAGATATCTGCCTGCCTCTGCCTCCCAAGTGCTGGGACTAAAGGTGTGTGCTACCACCCTGGCATTTTCCTGTAAATTTTTGTCTTAATGTAATCTTAAACTTAAAGAAAGAATAGTACAAAGAAATCCCACCTGCCCTTTAGCCCAATTCATCTCATCTTTTCAAAGCATTGAGAAAAAGTTGAAGGTATCACTCCCTTTGGCTCTACCCCTAAATACAAGTTTTCATTTCATTAAAGCAAAGTGTATTTTTTTTTCAGATAACCAGTTTCAAAATCCAAAAAATTAAAATACCGATACAAAATTATCATCAAACTATCTACCTTATTTGGATTATGCACTTGCTTGAAACACAGGGTTGTAGCTTTCTCTCTCCGGTCCAGGATGTGCCAGCACCAAGCACTGCACATAAATTGCATGTCTCTCTTCTCTAGTCATCTACTAGTTTCCTACCAACTGTGGTATGTTTAAAGAAAATGGGACACTGTGTGTAGAAAGTGCTCGAGCCCCTTATCATGAGGAAAACACAGGGAGGAACGTGCCTGCTGTCTCTCAGGGAAAGTTTTACAAGATGGAGTCCTAGTTTCAGAAATTCACCCTTAAGATCAGAAGGAACATGGAAGACTTGCCAGCCTCTCCTGCTCTACCCAAGATATGGAGACAGGAAGGGAGCCAGAAAAGATGGCAGGCAAAGAAGCAGAAGGGTAATCTTGGAGTTCTAGAAGTCAAGAGAATCCTTGCTATCGAGATGGAGAATCCGATCCTCTGCCCAGCGTGAGAAGTACCAGGAACATGGAGAGGAGTGTGGGTAGTCCTCAGAGAGGACTGGAAGTGTTGTGTCCTTTGCTTCAGTGCAGAGGGCTGGACTGCCAGCAGGGTTGACCTAGAGGATAGCCATTGTCCCAGGACCTGTGACACACCTGTGACACACCTGTGAACCCTACCCACATTTCAGATGGGGAGACTAAGGCTCAACAATGTTGCTGAAGGTCAGCGCTAATAAATTTCAGAGTTAGAACCCAGGTGCAAGACTTCCCCCTCCCTACCAAAGTGGAATAAGTCTCTGTCTTCTCAGCCTCTGGGTAAGCCAGGCAGGCACCACTATCCAGAAAGAGGTGGCACATATGTGGCAGAGCATGGAGGGCTGATGAGTCCCAGCACAGGCAGGTGAGGGCCTGCTTTGCCTTCCAGCATCAGTAGACACTGACTGCTTGACCTTGGGGCTTGCCTGACTATTGTGTGGTGGCCTCCAGATCCATTGTTGAGAACCAAGCTGCTGCCCAGCTTGATAACCAGGCCTGAGCTGCCCCCAGCAATTACTATAGTAACAAGGAACAGGTCCAGCACTTAAGTCTCCCTGGTTGATTTTAGGTTGACATGACAACCAGGGGATAGCTCATTATCCTGGGCAGAAGCCCATCAAGAAGGGCAGCTCACCTCTGCCTCAGGTGCCACAGGAAGATATGGACCCGCATGGTGACCCTGGAGGTGGCTGTGCCTTCTGACAGCTTCAGTTCTCACAATATCCTAGAGAACTGAGCAGCTGGGAAAAGGGTCTAGCTGTGGCCTGAGGAGGGTAGGGGAAGTGGGTTCGAGGTTTTGCATGTTAAAGGAAGAAGCTTCTGGAGAGAAGCTGGATGACCAAAGGAGGGTCTTTTCCAAAAGTCAGGTATGAGCCTAGCAGCAGGGGCCTAGCCTCTCCCGATCATACTGTATTCCTGTGGAGCGCTGGACTATTGTTTTTATGTTACATTCTGTAATTATATTTGCACATGGTCATCTAAACAGTGTAGTAGAGTCTAATGGGAAAGAGGTCTCCTCTCAGCCAGTTCCCAGGATACACTGAACCATTTCTGTTGGGTTTTCAATTTCTTGCTGTGAAAGCACTCTGACACAGCTGTCTGTCAGGCCAGTGCTGGCCACATGGTGAGATGACCAACAGAGGAACCCCCTTTTTCTTCATGCCACCCCTGCTCTCTAGTGGCTGTTCAGTTCTATGTCTTCTCCAGTACTGCACACTCGCTATGGGCATCATGAGTAGTGCTCCTGGACGCTTGGGCACTCTAAGCCCCAGTTCTGTGCTTGTCACTGTCCATGGACAGACTCACATCCTCTCTACCTGAGTGTCTCTGGAGCAGGCCCTCACTATCACTGTGGCACCTGCAGCAGAAGGGGAACCGAAGAGTTGTGTCTGTCTGTGCCCACCCTTGCCCAGCTCTGTTCCAGAGCTGACCAGGACAGCCAGAGGGCCTTCCAGGCCTTTGGGCACTGGCCTGAGGGAAGGCAGGGGCAAGCTGATGTTCATCCTTGAGCTTGGCTCCTCTGACCCTATAGGAAGTGTTTCGGAGGCACCGGGGGCTACGGCTCCTGGCCCTGGTGGAGGAGGTACTGCCACGCCACCGCAGAGGCCACCGTGGAGACTGGCACATCTCCCTGAGCAAGCCCAGTGAGAAGGAACAACACCTGTTGATGACGCTTGTGGGCGAGCAGGGTGAGTGGGGGATGTGGAGGTGCAGCAGGGCTGTTCTGGGGTCTCCAGGTGAGCAGATGTCTCTCCTCAGGCTTGTTATGGGGGCCTAGGAGAGCAGAGAAGGCTATGGAGCCAGGAACCCCAGATAGCAGGATGCTGGTGTGGGGCTCAGGGTGGAGTGATGTCTGCATTTGGGTGTGAGGAGACAGGTGCAGGTCCAAAGCACAAACTGTAAGGAGTGGGCACCACACACTGTGAGAAGGGGACCCTTGGGTTAGTGTCATACCTGTCACATGGTGTCCTCATGAATCAACTGAGTAGGAGGCAGGCCAGCAGAGAGCAGGCATGGGCCCTGAGGCTCCCTGTGTGGGCCAGAACCAGAGTATACAGAGCGGGCTCAGGCTGGTTGTTCAAGAGGCTGTAGGTCAGGTGGTATGAAGAGACACTTCAGGGACACTGTGGTGATAGTGGCATATCTCCTCCAGGGGTGGTGCCCACCCAAGATGTCCTTTCCATGCTTGGTGACATCCGTAGGAATCTGGAAGAGGTAAGTGTGCAGAGACTTGGCCCCTCAGTGTCCCCTCCTCCTATCCTTGACCCTCAGAATCCACAACTGCCCCAGGGGTGCCTCGGGGCCCTGACCATCTGTGGGACACACAGAACACATGCAGAGGACCAAAGGACCAACTGGACAGTGTGCAGTGGCCAGGGACAAAGGGCTGCACATCCCCAGAGCATTGAGGAGGTTGAATGGGATGATAGGGAAACATGAAGCACCTGATGGAGGGGGAACAGGGCAGGCTGCAGAAACCACAACCCCTGCCCCTGCGGTTGGGGAGGGAGTGTTGAGGCCTGGGAAACAGCCCTGCATTGTGGGAGGGACCATCAGGTGTAGTCTTCTGCCCCCTGCTGGGCTGCTAGAACACATGCAAGCTGGAAGTTCAGACCCCCAAATCCCTATCCTCCAGACCACCTTCTCTTATGGGGAGGGCCTCCTGATCTACATCCCTACACCTGCTTTCTCTTCCTGGACCTCATGACCTGTTCAGTTTTCCCTTTGAGGGCTCTGCTGAGTTTGACACCAGGATGTCACACAGCCCCTCATCTGTCAATGCAGAGGAGTGGGGTATCCACTCCTGGCTTACATAGGCCAGGCTGTACTGTGTTCTCACTTGGTCCCCTCTGCCACTTCCGGGGGCTGTGAGGATTAAATGAGGTGAAAGCTCAAGCCCAGAGAGGTCAAGTGCCTTACTTGAGATTGCCCAGCCGGTAAGAAGCAAGCCTATGTGATGGAGAGCTGCTGCTCTGCTTGGATGGCTCCTGAAGATCAAGATCTTCCCAGCCTTGAAAATCTGAGCTCACGAACGCAGGTGGGAGGGCACTGAGACTAGGCTGGCTGTGACCTCTTTGCGCAGGCCTGCCTCCCTCTTCTTTCTGACCCTGGATGTTGTATCCTTACAGAGCTCAGCTGAGCATGGCTAAAAGGCATTCAGGTCTTGGGAACTGTACATAGGTTGGGGGCATGTGTGAGACTTTAGCAAGTACACTGGTAAGTAACTCAGAAGGCAGAAGGGAAGCACTAAAAACACACAGAGCCTTTGCAGAACCACCGCCTGATACCTCACCTTCCTTGCTTCTCTCCCTCTGCCTGAAGCTGTTATGTGCAGGGACTCTGCCACTGGGAGAGAAGGCAGGCCCAGTCAGGGCAGTGTGGAGGGGTGCTAGGGAGCCACCTGCGGTCTGTGGCCTTGACAATGGGAAACTGAAGCTGGGCAGTCCAGGAAGTGGGCTGTGTTCAGCCTCCCCACATAGTTTCTTGCCCACATCAGGCTGCCTGGTCCACAATGGCCAGAATGACACCAGAACCCCCACTAAGGTGGAAGCTATGCTTCTGGGCCCTGACTGTGTGATGGACTTGAGTGGGGACAGGTATGGGGCCCCATCTAGCTGGGCCATGCATGACTGGCAGCTTGGAGATCAGTCTCAGTGGGGAACAGGGCCACCAGTCTCAGTGAGGGACAGGGCCACAGCCAGGTGCATTCAGAGGTGGGTTGGGGCATTAGTCACAGAGATGGGAAGGGTCTGGTGCCATTCTTAGATGGCTCCCCAAGAAGAACAGAACAGTGTGCCCCTCGGCACAGGTCCAGGTCCCAGGACCTTTACTGGCCCCAAACCCATCCCTGTAAGGCTAGCAGCTCTCAGGACCTCCGCTGAGGCCCGGCCCCGTCCACCCCTAGATTGGCATCCAGAGCTACTCTACCACCAGCAGTTGTCAGGCGCGGGCCACCCAGGTGCGCAGTGACTACGGGACGCTCTTTGTGGTGCTGGTGATCATCGGCGTCATCTGCTTCATCATCATTGTGCTTGGCCTGCTCTACAACTGCTGGCAGCGTCGGCTGCCCAAGCTGAAGCACGTGGTGAGCAGGCCAGGGCTGGCTTGTGGGAAGGGTGGAGTGCGGCTCATGCCAGCCCATGAGATGCACCGACCTGGCTGTGCTGAGACCGGCCTGGGAGCCTGAGCGCTGGCTCTGTGGCTGGCTCTGCAGGGAGGTGGGGAGCTGTACCGGGCCTGCTCTACAACTGCTGGCAGCGTCGGCTGCCCAAGCTGAAGCACGTGGTGAGCAGGCCAGGGCTGGCTTGTGGGAAGGGTGGAGTGCGGCTCATGCCAGCCCATGAGATGCACCGACCTGGCTGTGCTGAGACCGGCCTGGGAGCCTGAGCGCTGGCTCTGTGGCTGGCTCTGCAGGGAGGTGGGGAGCTGTACCGGGCTCACCAGGGGTCTGTGTGTCGTACCCGCCCCCCCCACACACC